TTCTTTTCCTCCTATGGAAAGTGGGAGGAAGCTATTTCCTGAAGTTGTGGTGGAGCTGAAATCTCATCAATTATGTAAGGTTTATCACTGGGCCCCACACATAATAAGCACCCCAAAAACAGTATTTATTGTTACGATGGGACAGAATGTCAGTTGGAAGCTTGGTTTTAAGTTGCGCACGCTGATTATCAATCTTAAATAATATTTTCTCATCTACAAGCTTGGAAAACATTGGCTTATTACAGACTTAAGAGCATTTCTTGCTGACAGTCCGAGGAGTTTGGAATTAAAAGTATAACAAGGGTGTCTTTGAAAGTGCAAAGTGGCTGAAGGCTGTGGGACAGACACTTTTTGTTCCGTGGCACAGAAAGTAATTGCGTGTTTCGTGCTCTCCCCCGGCCACATTTATTTGTAGGAGGCCATGCAAAAGAGCACTGTTTGTGGAGGAGAAACGGCTCGCCTTTAAATAAGGAATTGTTTAATTACATTGGTTTTGTCTTGGAGCATATAAGGCAGTGTTGCTGAGAAAAACATTCCAGGGCTGGACAGTTGCCTGCACCTCGCTGGTGAACTACTGGGAAATCACTGTAGGAGGGGAAATAATTTTGGACTGTTAATATTTGCAGTTTGTTAAAAATAGCCTGCTTGCATCTCTTCGTGAGGAGGGAGGCAGTGTTTTGCTCTCTCGGCGAAGTTCGTTTTCTGTTGGAAGAATATGAAGGCCATGGAACAGAAATCCCCAAGCAATGCCTTTCTGGCAGCACGTGAGAGCAGAGATGAAAAACTTTGCAGTGGAAAATTGCAGCTCAGTTTGACTGGGCTTTGGTGAATTACGAAGTCAAACCCTTGGCCACGTGTCGTGTGTTCTTGCCGTGACCCTGAAATCTCGCGAGAGCTGTGGAACTCGAGCTCTTGCTGAATCTGAGTTACGTCAGGCTTGTCTGTGCTGAAGAGTGACGAAAAAGGCTGTGCTCTACCGTCTCCTTGTGCAGAAGGGCCCACGCCCTCCTTTAATTGTGGAGGGCGTTGCTGTTGGGCATCACGAATGGAAGTGCAGCTTTCTTTCCCGCTCTGGAGAGAGGGCATCAGTAGAAAAGTAAAAACTTGGCACACTTGCCTTCTAAATGTGAAGGTTTAGTAAATGTGAAGATACCTATTTCCATCTTTTTTGACCATCCACATTGTTACTCCTGACATCTTGCCACTTATAAAGGTGTGTTTTTAAGGTGAAACTTTTTTACAGGTTGACTTCTATTTATGCCTAACTCCTCTCTAAAATTTATTTATAGTAGGTGCTAATGAATGCAACCCTGAGCATAAAGTAGAATTAAGTAAGGATTGTTGTGAGCTTCTTAGAGTGCCCTGATTGTAGTTGGGGTGTGTGTGTGTGTATGAGAAGTTCCACATGGGAATTACAATTACACACTGAAAAAATTTTACCAAGAATTTGCCTAGATTCCTGCCAACCTGATAAAATAGTCATATTCAGTTTTGCATGTTATCTTGGCCTTTTTCCATATGCCACTATTTTTTTAAAATATTATTGTACATGTCCATATAATATTATATTCTGCTTTTTATTAGTTACAGCAAATGGCTTTCATTTTATTATAGGTGCTTTATTATGCCCTTTTTTACTGTACTGAATGGGTTTACCATTAATTACTTGGCCTCTATTATCCTATGTGTAGGTAGGTTACTTAATTTTGTCTTATAAATAATTCCTAAACATTTTTTTCAGCATTTAGCTTTTCATCATCCAATGAATAAACTTCCAGGCATTGGTCAAGAGTATGGCTTACAGCAAATACTACCATATTTCTTTTGAAAAGGATTATCATACAAGTTGCATCCTTTAGTTTGTTTCATGTGTTGACCAGTGTCTTTACTAATTGTTGAGCTTTTAGCTTCCTCCTTGCTCCTAGAAATAATACTGAGGTGTGTGCGTATGTGTTTTTTTGGTATGTAAAATTTTGTGCATGTTTCTAATAGTGGTAGTCATAGTGGGTTTAAAATTTATAGCCACGACAGATATGCAAAGAATGGAACTTTAAAAAATTTCTCCTTAGTAAACTTAATTCAGCTTTCAGGCTAAATTGCCAGTTTTAGGCAGCTCACCTCTCGTTTAAGGCTGGTTATATTAAAGGTATGTCTCCCTCTGCACCTGGGAATGAGCTCGGCCCTGAGGGGTCTGCGGACCTTGCTGGCCTCTGCTTGGGAGGAACCCATCCTTGTGGTCTTGGGTGTTGACCTCTGGCTGCTACATCATCTGCCGTTCCCTGCAGCCCCTTCCGTGGCTGCTCGGTCCAACTACAGACCCTTTCAGGCCTGCTGGCCCTCAGCTGGCCTCTCTGCTGTTTTCAGAGCCCGGGAGAGGGGCCTGTGTGATGCCTCCTGGAAGGAGTCCTCTGCAGAGCTGGCCATCTCCCCAGGCTGCATTCCAAGAAGCCAGGCAACCATCTCTTCTACTGTGATACCTGCATCCTTCCTCCAGACTTCCCAAGGGATCCCACCCACTTCCGTGGTCTCAGCTCCTTGGCTCTTGCCCTTCTGCCCCCACGTCTAAGTGCCAGTCATGCCCCGCTGCAGCCCTCCTTCAGTTTGCTGGCCAAACTCTTTATCAGCCTTGGTGCTAAAAATAGCTCTTACATCATGAAGGGCTTTTCTTCCCTCTGGGATTATGGTAGAGACTCCATGCTTTAAATTCTTTCCTTTTACTCTGGATCTCTGAAGATAACCTTTCAGAATTCAGAAGGAAAAAGGAATCTTCCCTAAGTTTCTGGAGACTGCTTTGACTGAGATTTATCTCTGCTTTGGGTTTATGAAAGTCTGCTCAGGAACTGGAAAACCCAGAGTTTGGCTCTTTTGTCCCAGGCTGCATCACCTCTCTCTCTGGAAGTAAAGGCACACGAACTCAGGCAGTTGCCTAAATGACGAGCAGGCGAGGGGCTCAGTCCACGGGCAGCAGGGAGGGGACTGAAGAAGCCAGTTCTTAGCCGCTCAGCAGTAATGACCGCATATTGAGTGTAATCTGTGCATAATCTGTGTGTTTATTTAGTAGAGAATAATATTAATAGCAGGTGCTTTAATTAATTAATAGTCCATGCCAGGATTGCTTTGAGTGATCTTCTATATTAACTTCTTTAGTCTTCAAAACAATCCTGTGAAGTAGCATGACTATCATTACCTCCACCACGTGGACTGGGAGCCAAAACAAAGTGAGCTTGGTAACTCTTCAGCCAGGAAGTGGTGGACCTGAATCTTGCAGTCCAGGAGGCTGGCTCTGCTGGTAACCATTGGATCTGTTGCAGGTCATGGCTGAGAGGTCACAGGTACTTAATTTGATTATTATTGAAGGTAGATCTTTTTCTTCCAAACTTGCATGTCCATCACAGTCACTCAGGGGCCTGATAAAACCCAGATCGCTGAGCCCACCCTGGGAACGTCATATGTAGTGGGTCTGGGGAGAACGTGCATTTCTAACAAGTTTCCAGGTGATGCTGCTGCTGCTGCTGCTGCTCAGGGGCTATACTTTTGAGAACTGCTGCTCTAGCCCCCAAATCATTCCTCACATTCAGGGACGCTCAGTAATTACTGGCCAGCCAAAAAGAATGGAGCCAGTTTCCCCTTGGTTGCTCTCCTGAGTAGCTATGTTCTGCTGTGACTGTGGGCTGGTCCCTGGGCACAGAGGTGGAAAGAACATGTGATTGATCACTCACAGACGGTTGTGACTCTGACTTTCTCGTTGCCAATTCCTTTACGTTCTGAACCTTGCTGAGATGGTTATTTTTCTATTTCTCTCTCTCTGCATGTGTGTGTGTTGTTGGTTGTGCATTTAGGCTGTTAAGAGCTATGACCACATCCTGCAGGCTAGGATCCCACTTTACCTCCTCTCTTGTCTTTCAAGGTGGAATATGGGAGTGAAGCAGTAACAGGAATTCGTTTTTGGAAAGACTGGCAGAGAATGATCTCCAAATAGAGGGGAAACCCAGCACAATTTTTAATTGGGGAAACAAATGAGCTCAGGTCGAGCTGACATTGGCTCCCTCCGCCCTCCCCGCAGAGCATAACCCTGATGAATTTCCCCAACAGCCAGTTTTCTGTAGCGCGAGAAACTGCCGAGGCTGAAGTGGAGGGTCTGTTCAGATATCTGTATCCTTAGTCCCTTCTAAAAAGCAAACTGATACCGAAGTTTTCATCTTGAATACTCTGAAAAGTTTAAACTGCTTTTCTGGTGTTAATTAATGGTTAGACCACTGAATGTATTTTGGTTTTGAGTTAAATCAGCTGATCATTCCTAAGGGTATCAGGGAATTATTTTATAGTTTCTTTTAGGTAAAATATTTTTGAAAGAGAGATCACTGAGATTTTTCTAAGGAAATGCGGTACGTATTTTGCATAACTGGATATTACTGGCATTGGAAGTTGAATGCAGGGCTGTTTCTTTTTTTTTTTCTGGATCTTTAGTGTCACACCTGGGGTTTGAACAATGCTCTTACTTATTTGGTGTTAATTTAAAATGAGAAAAATGAGAATCAGAAAACAGCTGATGATTGCTTTGGAGAAGCATCTGATTTCTTAGGTAACAGTGAGGGAAGCCACATGGATTTGATTCATCTGCATCTCAAAAAGAACACGTTCTTTATCTTAGTATAATACGGGAGGAGAGGTGGAGGGAGGGGAAGACACCCAGCAAAGTGACATCACAATCAGCTAAGGCCGTTTCCAATAAAAAGTCTCCTGTTTGTCGATGAGAAAGCAACCTTGGCTAGTCTCCAAGGATTGGAGGAGAGACTTTTGGGCTCATTGACTTCTTATACCAGACGAGGATAAGGTTATCTTTTCAATCTCTCGTAGCTCCTCTAAATGAATGCTTTACTGAGGGAAACATCCAAATCCAAGTCGGAGATGCACCTTGATGAGGAGATCAGAAAAAAAGTAGGGAAAGTTCACACGCAGGCCAACAGTACAGGTTCTGACTCTCTCCTTTTCCCCTGCAGGTGAATTTTGTGGCCTGCCAGCTCCTTGCTCTGTGTGCTGCTTTCTGGTTCCGCATCTACTTAAGTCCCGGTAAAGCCAGTCCCCATGTCCGGCATGCATTTGCTACCATTTTTGGCATCTATTTTGTCATCTTTTGTTTTGGCTGGTGAGTAGGAGTCTCCCAAATTCTAGTATTTATCGTTCGGGTGTTTTGTGGCAATATTCTTAGCATTTCCCAGGCGCACTAAAGAGAAAAGGATATTTATTCTTACTGTAAAATAATGGGGATGTTGCAGGAATCTCCCCTTACTGTTAAGAACCTGGAACCAATAAACTGACTACTTATTTGAAGTCAATTTGGTGAATTCTTCTTAAAATTAGACATCTGCTGATCTCACCCTGAGTCATGTAAATGGAATGTTATGATGTTTTATTTTCCCAACAAGGAACCTTTCCTAACTGTTGGAGATAATTAGTGTTTTTTTTGCGTCACTGCTAGAGATAAGAGCAATAGTTTCAGTGCTGATCTTAGGGAATGTGTCATTCTTTAACAGAGAAACCCTGTAGAGTAGACTTTTCTTTACTAGGTAAGCCGAGTAAATACCCTGGGTGTGGTACTTCTTGAGGAAGAAATTTTAGGAATGAACATTTCTAGAAGTATAAGTTAAGGGAATTTGTTCAGGATTCTGGAATATTGCTCTTCCCGTCTTTAATGAAAATTTGACAAAGAATGATGAGTATTTTGAATTACCATCAAGTAAGAGTGTTGGTATCTGGGGCAGCTCAGCTTTGATCTTAGTTCTTTAAAATAAAAACAGTCCTGGAGTGCTCTACACTGGAATTTGACACAACATTGTAAAAATTATTATAAATCAATAAAAAATGTTAAAAAATAAAATAAAATTTGCTCTTGATAACTTAGTAGACTGAAACAAAAAAATAAAAACAGTCCTGGAAAAAAAAAGAGCTCTCTTCACTGCAGTTGGCCGACTAGGCCGTGATTTCCTAGAGTCATTTCAAGATACAGTATCTTAATTACATAAACAAAAACACTTGATTTATTTTCTCTTCTGTAAACCTGAGTTAATTGATCATTTGCTTTTTGGCGGGAGTGGAGGTAGAGTGGCAGTGTGGGTGGCTGAGAGGTATGTTAACCAAAATTTACTCAGTGTTCTCTCTCCCTCCCCTGTTCCGTGGTGTATTAAAGGTACTCTGTGCATCTTTTCGTGCTGGTGCTAATGAGCTACGGAATCATGGTCACTGCAAGTGTATCCAACATTCACAGGTAAGACCCTTGTAATGAACAATGCACGGTGAGGTTTTTCGTGAACTTTGAAATGTATTTCCAGGATAAAGAGGTACCCGTCCCTGTTGGCCATATCCTGAGTCCTCTGGGATATCAGAAGGGAGGGATGAGGTCTTAATTGCTCGGAGTCTTCAGAGAAAGCTTTACTTAAAAAAAAGCATGATGCAAATTGGGACTCAGGTGAAAGAGAGTCTGTTGAAATTAGGCAGCCTTATTTGTGATAGCACCAACCTGGAAACAACCCGCATGGTTACCACAACGGACCGCTACTCAGCGATAAAAAAGAAGGGATGATTGACACACACCGTGACATGGATGAATTGCCAAATAAACATCCTGAATGAAAGAGGCCACACAAGTTCTGTTCTCAGAAGTGCAAACTGACCTCTGGTGACAGAAATTGGATCAGAGGTCACCGCGGGTAGGGTGGGTCAGAGAGATGTGAGAGGGAGCCCACGGGGCCTGAAGCAGCCTGGGTAGGGGCGACGGGTTTGTCCGTTATCTTGGATTTAGCTGTGGTTTTCTGAGTACGAAATATTTCATAACTTTGCATACTTTAAAGGTGTCCAATAAAACTGTTAAAAAAGGAAGAAATATTCTATTATGATATTTTGATTTCAAAGTAGAGAAGTAATTTAATTCTACCTTGACGGCTCCATGCTTGGACAGCCAGCGAAGATCCCTGGAGTGTCTGGTTGGCATTGTCTCTGCTTCCCATGGTCTTTCTGAAACCTCAGTATTAATCTGGCCTTTCAGTAACACTGGAATGTGAGCTCTGTGAAAACAAAGACTTTTCTCTTTTGTTTGCTGTTATACCCTCGGAGCCTAAGATAATGCCTGGCACAAGTAAAAACTCAATAAATATTTATGGAATGAATGACTGAGTATATTTGAAAAGACACTTATCCTTCTATGACTTCCTTTCCAGAGGCTTCTCTGAAAAAGGAGATGCCTTATTTCAGCTTCTGAAGGCTCTTTGATAAGACTACTAGTGCAATAGTTTTCTGAAAGCATTGGAATTTAATTTTTTAGGTGTAATCTTGTAATTACTCTCAATAACTTCCTGGTTTTCAAGGGGAACTATTATCTGCCTGCTTTTAACTTGTACAGACACTCCACTTTGTATCCAGATGAGCTCTGGAAATCTGATTTCTAGTCATTTCTCTTCTAAGTGCCCTTCAGAAGGGAAATAGGAAATCTGTATTTCTAATATGGTAAGGATGGGTTTTGGAAATTCTTCATAATATGACAAAGTGCTTTTTTTCAGTGGGAGGTAAAAATGCCTGGCTTTTCCTAAATGTGCTGTTGGAAGCAATTAAATGATGAATAAAAATGTCATTGCATCTCTAGAGCATATTTGTCGGCTTCCCCCACACTTGTGTGATGCTGAGGGGGTGTGGTCCATTTTTCAGAGGGTCAAGCTCTGTTTCCAGGTTCCCTGTGTCGGTCTCTGGCCAGGAATGGAGTCCTCCGGCCTTGGCAGAGAGGCTTTCTGTTTTCCCACAATAATATTGTGGTAGCAGAGGGCCATGTCATAAGACCGAGAGGGAAAAATACCAGAACAAGTTTCTGCCCCTCTTTTTTTGCTGTGTGGCTGCCAGTACTGCAGAAGTAGGGAGTGGTTCACATTTCCCGATGGAGGGAAGTTGTTTCCTCTTGCCGCTGGAAAAGATCACTAGCCTGGAGTCAGGAAACCTGGCTTGCTAGCAGTGTGAGTATGGGAAAGCCAGGCAACTCCTCTGCACATCAGGTTTCCCGCTAAATGTGGGCTTTGTGGTGGTTTGAACTTGTTCTCTTGAAGACCAGGATTTCTGGGTTCTTGGTGAATAGTTTTCCCCTTGCCATCACTGCGTTACGAGTTCTCTCTGACGGCTGAGGAAGAGGAGAGGAGGATGAGCATTTGCTGCCATGTGGAACTGACCCACTTCAGGACTGACTGTGGCTATTCAGGATTTGTCTAGAGAGTTCTTGGGGTACCATGTCCACTTCCTTCCTAAGCCACTATGTTGGGCAGAAACCACAGGCATTAATTTACTTTATATGAACCAACTGGAACAGAATATAGTGACTCCTAGGACGGACAGGCCTTCTAGGGGAACTTGATGATAATTACCAAGTTTGCAATGCTTGCTTGGTGTCAAGGGCTAGACCAAGCTCTTTTAAATACATTGTTTCATTATTTTTGATGTAAATGATATACTAAATAGGAGTTTGTGATTTTTAAAATTAATTTCTATATTTATATTTAAATATAAATATTTTTATATATTATACATTTATATTTATAGTTAAATATATTTTATATTATACACTTATATTTATATTTAAATATAAGTATATTTAACACATTTGTTATATATTTATATTAAAATATAACTATTTGATGTTTATTTTATTATATATGCATTATATATGCATTATATATCATATATAATTATATATATGATATATATTATTACGTTTAATATTGTCTACCATTATTGCAAATATATTCTTTCTAGGACAACTCCATAGGATATAGTTTTTTTTTTCCTGAGATGAAAAATTTGAAAGCTCAGAGAGGTCAATCTGTATACAGTTCAGGGAGTTTCCACAGAGTGAATACATCCTGGAACCACTACGCAGGCCAGTAAGGGTAATGTTACCATCACTCATGTTCCAGTCTCTGCCACACCCTCCTTTCCTAACATGACTACTGTCCCGACTTCTCACAGCACAGATTAGTTTTGCCAGTGCTGGGATCTGAACTCAGGTTGGTCTGTCTCCAGAAAACATGCTCTCTCTGCCGCTCCTGGATTCCTTAGATGTTTCAGGTTTGTCCAGGGCATGAGTGCATTGCCCTCTTGTTTGGGGATGCAGTACTTGGCCCCAGCCTTGATCAGTGGGTCTTATTATAACAACTGAATTGAACTGGCTTTTCTCTCTGGGTGTGTGTGGGGGAGGGGTCACGGCAAGGTTGGGTCTAGCTCCTGTGGAGGAGAAAGAGGAAGCAGAGGCATGGCTGCGCTTGAAAGGGTCCTGGAAGAGTGTCTTGAATCTGCTTGTGCTTCTGCCGTGACCCTTGTGAACTGGCTTAAGAAAGGGACTAGGAGGTGGGGGCAGAAAGACCTCACTCCGTTCCACGGCTTCCGCTCCTCGGGGAGCTGGGTTTTCTTATCATTTGCTTTGTGCACCATCTTCTTGGTTTGGAGAGGGTTAAGTATGAACCCTGGGTAAGGAAAAATTGTCTTTTGTGTGGTAACATCTTTGTTTGCCAATGATGGTAAAGAGAAAGTCAAGTCACGGGGCTTTAGAGTTTACAAAACCCCTTCACACTCAGCCGGCTTTCCCTTGCTACCAGGTGAATTTTTATTATCCCTACTTGACTGTTCCTTTGGTTGATCTAGTCTTCATGAGCGGTTTTAATGTGAATTTGTGAATTTCAGTATAACTTAATATCAGGATATATATCTTCCCTGTTTTATGACACATGTTTAAAAGTCATCCCTCCTGAATTTATGTCTGTTTCTGATGAGTGTCTGAACCATTACAGATGTTTAATGTTCTCATTTCAGTTTCATCTCCACTGACAGTTAAGTGAACCCCTCCTGTGCCCAAGGGTTGGGATACTCAAGGTCACAATGAGTTGGGGAAACAGATACACATGTAGACTTTTAATATTATAATTCTGTATGTTAACCTGTTGCACTGGAGACGTGCAGGCAGTGGAGCGATGACTTGTGTTGGGAGTGGGGGTGGGATGAGCAAGGCTATGTCAGGTGACGTGGGAGCTGAGTCTTCTGATAATTAGGCAGTTTCCAGATAGACCATAAGGTGGAGGAAAGAGTTGCAGGCAGAGGGAGGAGCACATGGAAAGGGATCTGGCCTGAAAATGCAGGATGGAGTTCTGGAAAGGGAGCAGTCCAGGGCAGTTTAACCTGGGTGGACATGGAGCGTGGCTGGAGGGGGGGGGTCCAGGGAGACAAGGCAGAGCTCAGCCTGGGAAGCACCTTGTGTGCTGGATTCAGGAGCTCTGATGCGACTAGATGGGGACCCACCGGAGACTTTTAAGACAAATGACATTTTAGTTGTTTGTTCATGCTACATACACACCAGTGGTGAATGGAACACACATGACCACCCTTGGCTTGATGGAGCCTTCAGGCTACTAAGGGAGACAGTAGTTAATCAGATTATCACATAGCTTTATAAGTACAAATTGATGAATTTAAAAAATTTTATTTGTTGCTTTATTACATTTTTACGTTTATTTGGAGGGGGAGGTAATTAGATTTATTTATTTTTCCTTAATGGAGGTACTGGGGATTGAACCCAGGACCTTGTGCATGCTAAGCATGCACTCTACCACTTAGCTGTACCCTCCCCTTGATGTTCTGAATGGTGCACATTTGTGTGTATGTGCATTACTAGTTTATACTAGAGGGTGGTCAGGGCCCGTCTGTGAAGGAAGCCAAGGAGTGCACGTGAGCAGGTGCCTTAGACATCGACAGGGAGGGTCCTGAGCTGAGCACTGGGGATGCTAACGCCGAGGGAGTAGATGGAGGAAGATGAGCTGAGCAAGAGCCTTGGAGGAATTAACCAGAGAGATGGGAAGAAACCAAAGAGCATGGAAGCCAAGAGAACAAAGTGTCTCAGGAAGGGAGTGGTCGGCAGTATGGTGATGGTTTATATATTAGGAAGATCATTGTGTAAGCAGGTTGGTTTGTGCAGAGGAGAATCTGAACGCAAGACCTTACAGGTCCGCGATTCCCAGCTTTGGCTGCACGTTAGAGTTGCACCTGCCAGGTGCACCCCATACCAATACCAATAAAATCAGAGTACCTGAGGGGTGAGGCTGTGGGCTCTCCAGGTGATTCCATTATGCTGCCAAAGTTGAGCACTACGGCAGTGGTCCAGGTGAGAAAGGATGAAGGGCTCGAGGTCATGGATGTGACAGTGAAGGGATGGGATGGGCTGAGATGTAGATAGGACTTTGTGACCAGTTGCCTGGGTGTGGCGGGGTGAGGGAGAGGAAGAAGGGAAAATGGACTGAGCACACTGCTGTCATGCACAATAATCTGATCCTCTGTGTTCTTGGTTCCAGATACTCCTTTTTTGTAGCAATGGGATACCTTACAATATGCCACATCAGCCGGATATACATCTTCCACTATGGAATTCTCACTACAGATTTTTCTGGGTGAGTATCTTGATTTGGTTGAGGCCAGCTGAACTTTGAATCAGAACCTTGGGGTCTGTAAAATGCGCACAGAAGAGTCATTGGGGGCTGGTTACATCGGCTGGTAAGACTGCTAATGAATTTAGTTCTGAGGACGTGCGTGTAAGTTATACCAAGTATATCTGGTGGATTCCTGCTGACATGGAGACAGGGGATTTTGTTGTTGCTGCCGAGTGCCAAAGTGTAGACGTTAGATCTTTACGAAGAGTAATGGAAGGAGTGAAAGCACATGCTTCTCTGACTGACCACGATGGGTCTGAACAGATACCAGTGAACCTGAAATGAGTCCAGAGGAGTTCCCACTGCCTTCATTTGCAGCCCTAGGAAGCCTGTGGAACTATGTACTTCCCTCGCTGTGACTCCAGCAGTCCCTTACTTTCTCCCCACCGCGTGCTGGCATAGTTGATAGGAGTTTGGGAGCATTCTACAGAAGCTGTAATGTCATCACCCCCCTGTTCAGTCATCTAGGGAGCAGGGGATTCGGAGGGGCAGAAGCAACAAGCAGATGAGGAAGTCCAGCCTGAGCCTCCTGTGTCTCCCTCAGCTGCTGGGGCCAGGCCCCGGGCTGCACAGTTTGCATTGTATGTTGGCGCCCCCTGTTGTTGTGCAAGACAGCAGTCCTGGCCTAGGTTGCGGCTGATTGGAAGTTTGCTGTGCTTGGATTCTCCGAACCTGCCAAACTGCTTTCTTGTCTGAATCCTTGCTTTCCTAGGATGTATGTATTATAAGTGGATTTGTATTATGAACAAAGGATTGATGAAAATATAAAGTATAACTTTTTGGATCTAAAATTACCTGTTGGGGAAAATAAGATCCCTGAGTGTCAGATGTGGCTCGATGCTGGCCGGCCTGCTGTGATTGGTTGGCTCTTTTGACATCTCTAGCTTATGACTGCATTGTCTCATTGTACCATCGTAGCTTTACCAGGACAGAGAACTTAAGCATTTTAGGTCCAAAGATTAAGGTACCAGAGGTAGGTTTTATTGGAATGTTGCTCAAAATGGAGTTTCACTTAATGTTTTAGAAACAGGTTATTTTTCGGTTGGGAGTTGGTATGGAAAATAGAAATGGATGAGTGGGTACCATTTCTGGTAAATTGCCTGAAGTCTGTATCAGAAGGCATTGAGTGAGTGAGTGTGTGTGTGTGTGTGTGTGTGTGTGGGGAGAGTGGCACTGTTGTATCTTTTTACTCCAAACACATCTCCATCTGCCTGTTTTCCCCTTACTTCATTTCCTCCTATATTTCTTTATCCAAATTACACTAACAATTTTAGGTTCAGGAAGAAAAAACTCATTTTCTTTGGCTTGTTTGTTTTCAGTTGTGAAAAAAATTCACAGGACAAAAAAGAAGTGGCCCTACCTCAGCCACGCTGGACTCGAACTTTGGTTTCAGATTCGTCACATGGTTCCCGTAAATTCAAGGGCAGGGGCTCTGAGTGATGGGTGTGTAAACATCCAAAGACAGGGCCTGCTTCTCAAGGGCTGGGTAAACAGTACAGCTCAACGCCTGTTGCCTTTGAGGAAGTCCTTCTTGGCTGCATGAAGGCGCTTTTCTGTGTCCTTCCTATGCTTGTACGATGTGCTTGTATCTCTTGGGTTTTGTATTTTTGCTCCCACCCCAAAAGCATGAATTACATCATAAACCAACAAACATGTCTTCGGTTATATCATGTTTTGATTGAAAGGCAACATGGATGGTGTTTGAGTTTTATCATAAGTCAGTGACTATGGATTTGACCCTGGAATCGCGGTACCTTGTGCAGTCCAAGCTTGGCATCTGCCCTACCCACAAGTTTAAATAAATGGATGGATGAGAAAGCATTCCGAACGGACTTCCTCTAAGCAGAAGCCTCTGGTGCTCTCCCTGTGCCCGCAGGGAAGTAAGAACGTAGGAGGAGTCTCTCCATGTCCTTTTAGTGAGCAGGCTGTAGTTCTAGTTGGTGGATTTGAGATCTGCTTTTCCACAAGTTATCCGTATGCTGTGTTGTACAAACCCATGATCACATGTGTGAGTTGTTTCTTATTTAAGTTGCTAGAAACTTCTTCAGATGTTTAAAAGAGTGTATTATTGAGAATACTGTCTGGATGATGTGTAACAACATTTGACCCATAGCTTCCCCCCCACCGCCAAAAAGGGGATATTTTTTCCTAAAGAATGACAACAATATGTTCTTACATGTGCTCACAGGTGCAGATTTCGTACTGAATAGTTGTTTTTTAATTGACATTGAACTAGATATTCAGTACGAGGTATTGCCTTCGTCGGGTTCTCTGAGAAGCAGATGCCAAGGTGGGAACAGACGTATGAGATTTGTTGAGTGAAATACCTGGGAGGGAAGACCAGGAGGCAGCTGGATGAGGCTGGGGGAGCCATCGGGTTGGAAATGCACGTCTGAGCCCTGAGATGGGAGAGGGAAGGGACGAAGGGACGTCCTGGGACTGCAGTGCAGGGCTAAGAAAGTTTCAGCGAGTTCAATGATAAGTCCTCGAGCTAGAATTCCGTGGCTGGGGAGCACCCTGCCTTGTATGGAGGGTCCGCTGGGTACCGTGCTGCGCTCAGTCACCGGCTGAGAGCAGCCTCAGGGAGGTGCGCGCTCAGCACTGGAGCCGGTCAGTTACACTCCCCCAGCAGCTGATCTGAGAGGTGCGTTCCTGTGCCCACTGTTTATGTGAATATAAATGCTCTGCTGAACATGTGCCTAATTATGGAACACATGAAATCTAACCTCACATAGAGGAAAACAAATCTTATATTTGTACGGAGAAGGGCAGGCTACTTCCATGACAGATTTCCTTTATTGTTACATCAATCTTTTAGGCCCTTTTAAAATGAAGTTGTGGATTAAATCAAATGTAGGAACTTGGTTTGTAAATTGCATAGTCATCAGAATGTGTGGCCTCAAATTACAAAAAAAAAAAATTTGTGTCAGGCCTTGTGTAAGGAAGGCTAGGACCTGAGGTCCTGGGACTGATTCCTGGGACTTAACAATCTTACAGGGAAAGAAAAAGACAAAAAGGCTTTGGAAACAAAAACAGTCATATTTGGAAACTACCTTGAATGTGAAGCTTAGGATGAGTCCCTTTCAAGAAAACTAGTTGCTGGCATCTGTTACGCATTCTGGGTCAGAGGTCTTATTGAGTATCGGGAAGATGAGCTGCAAAGTTCTATTGGTCTGTCAGACCAAAGTAGTCTTTTTTTTTCAATTGAAGTATATAGTCAGTTACAATGTGTCAATTTCTAGTGTGCAGCCCAATGTCCCAGTCATGTGCATACATACATGTATTCATTTTCATATTCTTTTTCATTAAAGGTTATTACAAGATATTGAATATAGTTCCCTGTGCTATGCAGATGAAATTTGACTTTTTAATCCGTTTTTATATTTAGTGGTTAATATTTGCCAATCTCAAACTCCCAAATTTATCCCTTCCCACCCCATTTCCCCCAGTAATCATAAGATTGTTTACTACGTTTGCAAGTGTTTCTGTTTTGTAGATGAGTTCATTAGTGTCCTTTTCTTTCTTCCTTTCTTTTCCACATATAAGTGATATCATAGGGGTTTTTCTTTCTCTTTCTCACTTCCTTCACTTAGAATGACGATCTCCAGGTCCACCCATGTTGCTGCAAATGGTGTTATTCTTTCTTCTGGCTGAGTAGTATTCCATTGTATAAATACCTCACATCTTCTTTATCCAGTCATCTGTCGATGGACATTTGGGTTGCTGCCATGTCTTGGCTATTGTGTATAGTGCTACTATGAACATTGGGGTGCATGTGCCCTTTCAAATCAGAGTTCTCTCTGGATATATATGCCCAGGAGTGGGATTCAAATTGGTTTCATAGGAAGTTTCAATGGTCCTTATTTCTAAAACCCAAGCCTCCATGTTTGGGAAGCAGGGTTTTTTTGTTCTTTTTTTTCCCCCCAAGGTAAGAGTGTTGTCAAAACCAGTGCCAGCTCTGAGCATGTCTTGCTGCCATAGAACAGCCACTTTGGTGGCTCCCTTGTCGGCCACACCCACTTCTCCCCAGTTGGGGCAGAGCACCGCCGCCCCTCCCTTCCACAATCAGACTCATTTCCCCTTCTCTTTGCCTCACACAACATGAGGAATCTTGTTTTCAATGCTGACCATTGAGCTTTTGCAAATAAGATGCAAAGTTGAGCGTTCGTGTTAAGATTTCAAGGGGCGTTCGTTGGTTCTTTTCTTTAATATAGTTTATCTTATCAGTTTATATTGATAGTGTAAAATATCACATGCTTATTTTAAAGAGATGGAAAATAGAATGAGAACGAGAGGAATTAAAGAAGGGAACGGGCTTATAGAGAGGTGGCTGAGTGCAGCTGACCTATCAGCTTTGGCCTAAAGGTGGTTTGTGTCCAGTCCCATCCTCCCACACCTGGGCCTGGCCTGGGCTCAGGGCACAGAGGCTGTGTGGCATCCTAGGGTCATCCCAGGGCTGCTGGTCATAGAATGCTGACCAAAACCTCAGCCTTCTATGCAAATGAGCCATCAGTCCATATGGGTCAGAGGCAGCAAATTCAGTAAGAAGCCACCAGAGTAGAGATCAGAAAATCAGGCTAAACCAAGAAGGTTTGAAGGAAAGGATGGTAGTTGGGTAGGGGGATTTTTATCTTGTCTCATTGGGCAAGAGCAGAGCTATTAAAGGAACTAAACTAGGCTAGATGATTGGAAAAACAGGCACCATTGTTAATTGCAGCTTTATGGAGCTATAATTCACATACCA